CTGGCAATGCTCGGGAGACCCTATGGGATGCTGGGAACCGAATCCGGGTCAGCTGCGTGCAAGGCAACCGCCCTACCCGCTGTGCCATCACTCCAGCCCCTACATGTTATTACTGAGATGGTATAAATGCTTGCTCATTACGTTAGAACTTCATGAGAAACACCATCACATAATTCCTAATATGAAGTGAACCTTTGCCCAGTATAGTATGTTTTAAGATCTTTAATTGTGGGCTGGAGCGATAGCACAGCGGTAGGGCGTTTGCCTTGCACGCAGCCAATATGGGCGACCCGAGTTCGATTCCTCCGCCCCTCTCGGAGAGCCCGGCAAGCTACCGAGAGGATCTCGCCCGCACGGCAGAGCCTGGCAAGCTCCCCGTGACGTATTGGATATGCCAGACACAGTAACAACAAAGTCTCCAATGGAGACGTTACTGGGCCCGCCGAGCAAATTGATGAACAACGGGAGGGCCTTTACTTTACTTTTTTTAATTGTGGGCACTGAAAGCCTTTTGGACATCTATAGAATTGATTTAATGCTTTTGAAAGAGTACTGCAGAGTAGTTTTGTCATGCTAATGAGATTAGCAAATTGTGTACAAACTTCTTGGGAGATCAGGATGCATTAAGTTCAGTAAAATATGGAGGTTAAAGCTGTGAGATGTGACTATAAGGAAGGAGTGTAGATGTGTATTTTTCATTTCATTTCATTTCATCATCCTGTTATTCGTCGATTGCCCCGAGCAGGCCCCAGTAACGTCTCCTTCATCCTAGCCCTGAGATTATAGTCAAGGCTCTTTAGGAGAATGAGACCCATCATTGTTACTGGTATTTGGCATATTTGGTAGGCCACGGGGAGTTTGCCAGACTCTGCCCTGAGGGCAGGCTACATTCGATAGCCTGCAAGTTTGTCCAAAGTAGGAATGAGATAATAAGGTGTCATAAAAAAGATGTGTGTTTTGAGTATACAAAATAATGGGCAAAGATATCAGTGGGAAAAAAAAAGCAATCCTGTTAAAGGGATGCTGGTCTTGAAATGGAATAAAGGAAAGTTACAGGATTGAGAAAGTAAAGGACTATGTAGAAGGTCTGAGGTTGTGTTGTTTTTTTTTTTTTAAATAACACCTTTATTTATTTTATTTTGCTTTTAAAATTGTTCTATCACTCCAGTCCGAGATTGTGTTTTAAGGAAAGAATCTATGATTAAAAGGGATTGTTATTTAAAGATCTCCTTATATCTTTAAATTGTATCTGTACAATTGTTCTAATGCCTTTTTGGCAAGTCCATGGAAGAGGTCTGATGATCTGGACTCCTGTTACAGTGCTCTTAAACAATTGGATAGTAAATCAAGGTTTTCAACAAGCACTAAATTAATTAAACATGATACTGTTAAACTGTTTATTCTATCTCTACAGATCACAATGCTTCTTTTGACTGGGGCCCATAGCAAATGGGTAAACTATCTATGGTAAGAGTGGACAGCTTGCTTTTCTCTTCTTAACACCTTTACCATATTTAATCCTCTATGGCAACATCATTTTGCAGAGATCTGGTAAAATGGGATATCTTACGCAAGGATGGTAAAGGGCCCTCTGTTACTCTATTAACAGAGTAAGCAAGTACCACTTAAATAACTGGAAACCTCCAAGGGAGAGCTCTCAACTCCAACATATCAGCTGCAGGTGTCCTCTGTCATACTGACTTAAGCTTCAGTTGCTCTAAGATGGCCTTAAACCTAACACGCCAAAGCATGGGTTCCAACGAGGGTCTCAGAAGGAGCCTGGGCAGGCGTGCCATCCTGCCTCAAAGAGCACACTGGAAGGAGGCAGCATCTAAAGAGGCCGTCTCTAGTGGCAGAAGTGGAACCTCTATCACCGACACCTAGAACAAGGACCCTTGGGGCTAGGCAAACTGAAACAGATGGACCCGAGGCCCCAAATCCTTCCTGGGAAAAGCCACCTTGCTCTAATCAAACTGAACCTAATGTTCAAATTACTACTCGGCCATGCTCAGGGGTTACTCCGGGCTCGCTCATGCACTCAGGAACCACTCCTGGCGGTGCCCGGAGGACCATATGGGATGCCCGGGATCGAACCCAGGTTGGCCATGTTGGCTGCGTGCAAGGCAAACGCCCTACCCGCTGTGCTATCGCTCAGCCCCAGCCACACCTTTTAAGGCCCTCAATTGGGTCGGCTCCAGGAACTTAGGCTCTGTTCAAAGTTCTTTTAACTGGGGTCTTGCTAATCGGCAAATGCGTTACCAGAAAAGACCTCCTCAAAAGGGCAAGAATAACCTCTAGCAACCTTCAGTCTCTTGTCGGAGTTGTTCATTCTCAAGGGATAGCCACACCTTTGTCCCACTCTCTAAACAACATGACACGGGGACAGGCAGGCCAAGCTCAGAAAATGGCCCTTAAGAAAGGAAACCACCAGCAGGAAACATCACGAGGGTGGCCTGGGCGATGCTTGATAACCCGAAGGACCTGGGCTGACCGTGCAATCTGGATGATGGACACCAGATAATCATCTCAGCACCTCTCCCCTCTTCCAATGGCTGTTTCAGCTCCAGGCCCTACAAGGGGCCTCTAAACCAGAGTACAGTTAGCCTCTGACCTCCAAATATCACACCCATCCCCTAGGCACTTCAGTCTACCCTATGCACTACGCTTGGAAGGGACCATTGTCTTTGTGAGTGAGTCTAGGTAAACACAGATCTACTGTAGCTACAAGAAAGCCCCGGTACGGAGCAGCCTTCTCCAAAGCGGTTTGCACGGAAAACACTTGGGCTTGGCTGGCTTGGCTCCTGCCCTTCTCGGCCCCATGGCGGACTTCCGCTTGTCACAGCTGACACTGTGACCACTGTGGAACCATGGGTGCAGGCAACTGAGGCACCATGGACCTCCAGGCTTCCCCCTTCCTAAGGCCCCCGACCTCCCGGGGCCCCTATGTGCGCAAGGCCCCAAAAGTAAGCACCAAGAAGCGAGAGATTCATTGCCCCGTTTCCTGACTGCATCAGGGCTTCCCCTCTGAGAGGGGAGAATGAACGAGGAGGCCTCAGTTTCCCCTTGCCTACAAGAAGGGAGTCCGGTTTCCTTTGCCTGCAGCTCCATTTCCCCCACGGACTGGCCGCTCCTCACCCCCACGGCCCTGTCTTTAACATTCCCGGCGTGCCCGGGACCACGTGCTCCTATCCCAGAACTGGGAGTCACAAGATGAAGATCACGAACAGTACCCGAGGCAGGAGACCAGAAGGACACACCGGCCCCGGCCCCGCAGGCTCTGCACTCTAGTCCCATAGACACCCGGTTTCCCTCCGAGCCTCACAGGAGGAGCCGCAGCCAACTTGGTCCTACACCCAGTTCCCCCGCCCGGGGGCTCCCGGCTCCACGCATCTCGCTGCTCTCCGTGCCCCACTTCACCATCGCCAGGCTGAGAGGAAAGGCTGGGAGAGGCACCAGGCCAGGGCGGCAGAGAAGGGGTCCCTGTGGGAGAGGGTGGGTCCAGGGGGTGCAGAAGCTGCACAGGTGAGGAGGGGCTCCTCGTCTCCAGGAGCCCCTAGGGACCCTCCAGAGACCCTCCCACATCTGGCCTGTGGGTCACCCATTGCACGTGTGCATGGGCAACACGTGGATACTCACACACACGTGAGAATGCACAGCACACATGGTATATATGAGTACATATGACTCCGGCACGTGGGCACACACGAACACACAAGCATGAGCACACAGGCATAGACACACGGGCACCTGGGGACACACACGAGCTCACACACATGAGCACACAGACATACGTGCACACACAAGCTCTGCTCTAGCCTGAGCTGCTCCACTCGGCCCTGCTCTTGCCACAGAGGGTGAGGGGACGGAGGGGCAGGCAGGAGACCCTGGACGGACTGCCCCCCCCCAGCTCCAAAAGGCCTCAAGTGAGAGTCTGGGAAGAATTGCAGGGGTGAGTGGGAGGGGGACTCGGGGGCCATGCCCACAGGGCAGACACTCACTTCCCCTTCAGGCAGCCAGGGGGGCTCCCGGCTGCCAGGAGCCTGGGGGCTGGCACGTGTCCACCAGCCCTGGAGAAGGCGGAGAGGCCCAGCAGCTCCGCCAAGGGCGCAGGGCAGGGGCCAGGCCTGGGGGTGGAGGGGGCGGGACACGGGTCTGGCTGCCCATCTGGGAGTGATTTGAGACATTCCAGGCCTGATGGCCCTGGGAGGCTATTCTTAACTGCCGTAATTACAGGGTCAGCCTTGGCCAGTGGCACCATGGGGTCTGGGCATCGCTCACTCACTCCTCCAGGGGCCAGGATGGGGCTGGGCGGGGGCTGCTGGGGCAGGGCCGGGGGCGGGGCCTGGGAGGTAGGTAGTGGTGGGTGGCTGGAGAAGCGGGGAAGCCTGGAACCTTGCCCCCCCTGCTCCCCCCCCCCCCCGCCTGCAGGGGTACGCGAGGGGAGCAGGGCTGGCTGGGGGATGGGGCTGGCACAGCGGGGCTGGCACCCATAGGAGGACCCTGTAGACTCGGGGGCACTCAGCCTTCCTGCCCATGCTTGTTCCCCTGAGACTAAGTTTCCCAGCTGGGAAGGCAGAAGACTGGTAGGAGCCCCCGGATCGGCACTGACCCCAGCAAGCCCCACCCCCTGCCCAGCCCCGCCCTCAGCAGCTCCTGGGGGGGGGGTACCAGCTCCAACAGGCCTTGGGGGTCCACCTCGTCCCCGAGGCCTCAGCCAGCCGGGACACATGTGATTCCACATCCATGACACTGGGTCTCAGCTGCTGGCACAGAGGACTTGCCCTGGCTCTGCCCTGGCCCCACCTCCCTGCCCCTCCTCCACCATGCAAACCCCTCCACTGATCCACCCCTGATGGGGAGTCGGGCGGGGGGGAGAGGGGGGCATGGGCGGGTGCAGGCCGGCTTTGAACCCCTACCCCCATCCTTCTGGTGAGTCACGCCTCCCCATGGGGTCCCGGCGCCCCACAATCCACCCCGGCCCAGCCCCCACCAGCTCCTACCCCTGGGAGGTGTCCAGGCTGAGGGTGGCCAGGGCCTCGGAGAAGTGACGTGTGTCCCAGAGCTTCACTTCCCGCTCGAGCATCTGCGGGGGAGGGGCGGGGCACTGAGGTGGGGGACAGCCCCGAGTGCCTGGTACAGGGCACGACCCCCGAGCAGAGGTGGGGGCCCAGGGAGCGGGTCGAGTGGGTTTTCATGACCTGCTTTGTCACGAGCACCCTGGGTGACAAGGGATGGGGCAGCTCCCTCGAGGCCAGCTCCCAGGGGGGACACGGTTCCCAGGGTCAGGCTTAGCTCTTGCAAATGGAATCTGCATTTTCCAGCCGCTGCTCCCCTGGGGCTGGGGCCGGCCACACGCGGGCCGTATATGGATAAGACTGCGGCCGGGGATGCCCCGACTCCCCTCGCGTGGGGGTACCTGGTTAAAGCCAGTGGACACGAGGTGCTCCCGGGTGCCCGTCCACGCCAGCCGGCAGTCCCTGCTGTTCGGGTGGGCCTCCGTGCGCTGTGAGGGAGAGAGCAGTGAGCAGCTAGTGTCACGGCGGGAGCCTAAAGGGGACGCAGTAGGCGGGCGCTGTGCCCCCGGAGAGTCCTGTCCTCCACCGTGTGAGTGGGGCCCCTGCGCCCCCTGGGCTCGCGTGCCTGATGCACCCCCCCCCCACTCAGCGTCCAGTCAGGGAGGAGAGGCGAGTTCAGGCCGCGGGCAGGCAGGCCTGTCCCCTGGGCCCAGTCAGGGTGGGGGGGCCCAGGGCTGGAGGAAATGCAAACACCTCCCTCCCCGTCACCCCGGGCCCCTGGAGCCTGAGACGAAAGACCCTGTTACCAAAAATAGCTCCCCCCAAACTGTGGCCAGCTTCCTCCCGGCTTCCCACGCTGTCCTTGGGAATGGACGGGGGAGGCGGCGGAGGGGCCCGGGCCAGTGTGGGAGACGCCGCGTGGGGATGGAGCCTGAGAAGGCCCGTGCTCCTCTGCGTGCGGGCAGGGGGCTTCAGGGCCCCGCAGACCCACGGCTCTGCACATGCCCACGTGACAGGCCGTGCACATGCAGGGCGCTGGTCACACGCCCCGGTCAGGGGACGGGGCCAGCACAGGAGAGCAGAGGCCCCCTCACTGGTCTCTCAGTGACCCCCAGAAACGTAGCAACAGAAAGTGTCCCCAGCTGCGCCTGAAGCAGACCCCGGCCCCCAGGGTCCCACCACTGGTGGAGGGGCTGCCTGTCCCCTCTTGAGGCAGCACCACAGGGCAGAGGCCAACCTGTGCTCCTGCATCCAAACCCCAGCACCGCCCAGTCTGCAGGCCCCCTGGGCCGGGGTCTGTGCCACCACTGTTGGCGCTTGGGGGTCTCTCCCAGCCGCACTCAGACAGACCCCACATCGGCCCTCCAGCCCCTGGGCCTTGGCTGAACCCAGTGCAGGGAGCTAGGGTGAAGGTCATGGGGGCTTCACAGTGTCACACGGAGAAACTAGACACTTGGCTGTAACCCACAGCCCTCGATCCTGGGGGATAGCAGGGACTCTGTCCCCAGGCAGGAGCAACAGGGCCCAGAGCCCAGGCTGCTCCCTGGCATCTCACTTTTCAGAAGCTCCTAGCAGCTCACAGGGAGGATGGGCCTGGGCTATGCTGGGGGGGCGGGCAGAGCTGCTGAGTCCAGCCCCCTATAGCTCCTGGTTTTGGGGTAACATCCAGCAAGTGCTCAGGGATCACTCCTGGGGGGCTTGGGGGACCACACGAGGTGCCGGGGCTGACACTGGTGGACAGTGCAAGGCAAGCCAGGGCCTAGCGCCGTCACCCAGGGGACCCAGAACAGTGTCACGGCACTGTCACTTTTCAGACCTGCAGCTCTCTGCCTACGGCCTCAGCGTCTCCTCTCTACCCCAGGGCTCGGGGTCCACCCGTCAGGACTCTGGGCTCAGGGTCTGCCCGTCCATGGGGTCTGTGGGCTTGGGGTTTGCCCGTCACGGGGTCTGGGCTCGGGGTCCGCCCATCACCAGGTCTGGGCTCCGGGTTTGCCTGCTGTGGGTCGGCCTGCGCAGCACAACACAAGGGCGGCAGCACATACCCTGCATTCCAGCCTCAGTGCAGCCAACACCTCCTCCAGTCACCATGGCAACACTTCCTGTGTGGGGCAGGGCCGCTGGGAAAGCGCCTTCCCCCAGTGAGACCCCCACACCTGCCTGCACGATCCCCTGGGCCTGAGGCTGGGTCCGGGGGCCCCATCGCCGGGGGTGCCCCAGGCTGCTGCTCCCCAGCACCCCGTGTCCCTGGGGCCTCCGCCACCCCCGCCCCCAGGCTCTGGCCCTGGGGAAGGGGTGGCACCCGCAGAGGGAGCGGGAAGGAGCCCCCGAGCAGCGAGAGGGAGGAGGCTCTCCAGACGCCGTGCCCCCCGAAAGCCTCCCCACGCTGGCCCCTCGCTCACGCTCACACCGGCCCAGCCGCCAACAGTGGTTTCCCTAATAGAAGCCAGGTGTGGGCCAGATGCCCTGGGCGGAAGTGGGGGGCAGGGCCCGCCAGGGAGCGGAGGGGGGCGGCATTCCAGCCGCTGCTGCCCCCGCCCACGCTCTTCCCAGGTCTGGGGCCCAGAAGCCCCTCCAGGGGCTCCTCCAGAACCAGACCCTCCCTCCCGCCCCCGGAACTCAGAGCCCCTTGGCCCACGGCCACCAGCTCCGCCTCGGCCCCTCCGTGGGTGCGTGTGTATGTGTGCCTGAGAGCTTTGAGGAAGAGGAGGGGGCTGGCCTGAGGCCATGCCCGGCAGGAGGGGGAGGGCTCCGTCTCCCACTTCCCAGCACAGCCTCCGAAGGTCACCAAAGCGACCTCCCTGTGGGGCCTCAGGGTCCCCCACAGCTTCCAGTCAGGCACGGGCTGGAAGGCGGCCCACTTCCATCGCCAGGGCTGACCACTTCCGCCGCCACCACGGCTACTGCTGGTCCCTGACGCGAGGGGCCTCCGTCCACTACTGGCTTCGGGAGGGGCTTGGGGGGGCTGGGAGCTGCCGTGCGCCCTTGGGGAGGACCCTGGGTCCTCCTCACTGCTGCTGGCATGCAAGCAGCTGGGAGACTCCCGAGCCCAGTTGGGGGCGCTGCTGGGGTGTCTCAGTCCAGAGCTGGTCAGTGCTGAACTCCACTTTTTTTTTTTTTTTTTTTATAAATTCATGGTTTTATTTTGTGTTTCTGGGTCATAGCCGGCAGTGCTCAGGGCTTACCCGTCTCTCTGCACTCAGGGACCAGTTCTGGCGGACTTGCGGGGACTGTATGGTGCGTGGGAAATCGAACCCAGGCCGGCACATCCCATGCCTTACCCGCTGGCTGTACTATGGCTCCAGCCCCTGAACTCAGGGAAGAAGGTGCCTCAGGTTCTAGAAAATTCTCTTTCCAGGATGTTGGCTGCCTCTCCTCACTGGCTTCTCAAATCTGCCTGTTGGCTTGAGCCCGGCCCACACCCTTCACCATGGCCTCCCCGCCACCCCCACCGGGCCCACGTCCCACGGGGGCAGCGCTGCGCTCGGCTGACTGGTCCCAGAGATCCAGCGCCCTGCTCCTTGCTGAGTGTTTAGCCCCCAGCCCCCACAGCTTAGCCACCTTGGCACAGACCGGGGGTCCCGTGGAAGCGGAGGGTGTGCAGAATGAAGGCTGCGTGGCGGGGACACGCCCTTTTGGCTCTGCTGTGGCCGCCGTGCCAGGAAGGTGGGTGGAGGCCGAGCGCTTGGACACGGGGAGGAAGCTGGAATCTCAAATTAGCTTCCTGCGGCCACAGGACGCCTCCACCGCGAGGGCCCGTGGGCAGCCCGGCCGCACCCGCCCTGTGATCGCCGCCGCTGTCCTGGGACCTGGCAAGCACTTCCGGCTGCGGGAGCCCACGCGGCCCCAGGTGACCCCACACCCCCCAAGGGCCCAGCAGAACTTTCCCCCACACTCACCTGGCAGGCCTCGGGCTGGGCCCGGGGGTCAAAGAGCCGCAGCTGCTTGTCCTGGAGAGGCAGAGGGGAAGGGGGTGAGCACGCAGGGTCCCCGCCACCAGCCCCCCTCCCCACACTCCCCTCGCCCCCCAGACGGCCGCCCAGCCCCGCTCAGCACGTGTGAAGGCCCCGCTGAAGGCACGGGAGCAGAGCAGTCACGGCCGGCAGGGATTGGGACCGGGCGTCAGTGCGTGAGTGTGTGCATGTTAAGTGCACACATGTGCACACGCAGCAAACCGGCTAGCAGGAGTGCCGGGCAGGGCCCAGGAGACTTGGGCTTTCCTGGACCTGGCGGCAGGTGGGATGGGGGAGGACACATGGGCTGGGCGGGGCTCCAATGCCAGCCCCACCCTCACCGCCTGGGCACCTCCAGCCCCGGGCACCACATTGCAGGCACAGGGTCAGGGGTTCAGGGCGTGCCCTGAGCTCACCGGGCTGACAGGCGCCGCCATCCGCGGGCCTGGCGCGCCCTCTAGCGGACACTGAGGGGAGGGGAGGAAGCGCCCAGCACACAGGGGCCTCAGCTCCTGTGGCAGCGCCCCCCAATCCCCCCCACCCCCCGCAGCACGTCCCTGGCTGGGGCGCACAGCCAAGTCCAGCTGGCCAGGCAGGACACGCTGACCCACACTGCTCTCGACTCTCCCCCCAGACCCCCGCCTCCAACAGGCCTGCCCTTTCCCTCCCCCCAGACCCACACGTACAGCCCCCACTATCACAGCCCACAGGGTGGGCACGGTGTCATGGGTACGGACGAGAGGTGCCACATGGACAGTGCCACCTGCTCTGGGCTGCCTCCTTGCTCTGGTTCCCAGGTGGGTGAGGGAGCTGAGGGAATCCTGCCCCACAAACGCCACCCAGGCTGCAGCGGCCGCTGAGGACAAGGGCCCCTTGATGTGGCAGTCAGGCAGAGGCGGCCTCACCAGCTTACCTTGCAGGTTGTGCCCACCAGGGCTCCGTCCCGGCTCCAGGCTGCGCCCAGCACCACATCCCCATGGGCTGCCAGCTCTGCAGGGAAGGGGCCCAGGTCAGAGCAAGCCCAGGCCAGTGGGAGCAGAGGGCCGGCTGGGGGCGGGCACAGCCCAGCGGGATCCTTCTTGGCTCCACCCCCTACTGGCCATCAGCCTGCGCCTCTGTGCCTGCACCCACACCCTGGGACCCCCAACGTGCCGGCTGGGGAATGTGCCCGTGGACCCTCCGGTGCATGGCACAGGCACAGCCCTCAGCCCCGCGGCCAGGGCTGCCTGACCCGAGAGGACAGGAGGGGAGAGTGACAGGAGGGGAGAATGGGCAGGAGGGAGGAGGGAGAGGGCAGTGTCTGGGCGCAGCGCCCCCTCCTGGAGAGCCCCTGCATTAGCGCCTGGGCTGCCTCCTTGCTCCAGGGGGGCCTGGGGCCAAGCCAGGAGGGTGGCCAGGGTGTCCGCGGGCAGGTGAGACCCCATAGGGGAGGTGAAGAGAAGCGGGCAGCGGGCAGGGCAGTGGGGCAGTGCGCCATGGGGATACCTGTAAGGGGCCGCTGCTGGGCCGCGTCCCACACCTTGGCAGCAGCGCCGGCCGCGCTCAGCAGCACGCCGTCAGCTGTGGGATGCCACTGAAGCGTGGCCACGGGCCCATCCTCAGGGCCCAGCACGAGCCCGGCTGAGGAGGGCAGGGCCTGGCTGGGCAACCCCAGCCGCCACAGTTTCACCTGCGGGAGGAAGTGACCGGTGAGTCTGGAGGCCCCGGGGCCTGGGGCGACACGGGGAACGGAGAGCAGGGCTGACTCCCCCATAAACGCCCTAAAGTCCAGGGCCTGGGCGCATGCAGGCCGCGGCTCCCAGTGGGCAGCGGAGTGGGGTGGGGAGAACAGGGGATAATGGAAGCTGAGGGTCCCACTGAGGGGTCGCAGGTTCACTCACCATCCGGTCAGCAGAGCCCGTGGCCAGTAGAAAGTCATCAAAGGGCGAGAAATCCAAGTCTGTGATGAGGTCTGTTGGGAGAGGCCAGAGGAGAGACGTGTTGGACTGGCCTGTGGCCCTCAGGACACACCCCGCCCCACCTGGCAGGACCCAGGGGACATCAGAGCCCGTGGGCAGGAAGCTCCTCAGCGCTAGTCACTGGTGCTCGCCCGGGAGAGCTCCGTCCACCAGGCATCGGGCACTATGGTCCCCCCCGCCCTGCAGATCCTGGGCACCTCCCGCAGGATGCAGAGGCAGAGGGGGCTGGGTGGGTGCAGGGGCACCGGGCAGCAGATATGCCAGACTGTGCTGTGCCCCCATGATTTCCCCTCACTTGGGAGAGAATCAAGACACCGGTACAGAGGAGCACAGCTGAGAGGAGCTAAACGTCAGCCAGGCTATCCCCAAAGGCAACACACACACGCACACCCACCACACGCACACACATGCACGTGCATACACATGGCACACACACGTCCCACATACATGCACTCATACGTGCATAAGCGCTCACACCCGTCACGTGCACACACCCGCCACGCACATGCACACGTGCAGACACATGCACAAATGTGCGCACATACACACACACACACCGCATGCACATACACGCACAACATGCCACATGCACACATATGTACATGCAACACACCACACATGCACACACACCCGCCACAAGCACAAACATGCACCCACGCGCACCCACACCTACACACCAACACACACACACACAGAGCCCGCCAGGCTTTGCCGAATGGGAGCGGTCCCTGCCCCTCCCACATGTCCAGCAAGGCTTCCTGGGCGCGTGGCTGCGGGCCCTGTGGGAAGACAGGAAGATGCCAGGAGGCAGAGCAGTGCCCGGCCCAGCTTCCTCGTGCCCCCGCCCCGGCCCCAAAGCAGAGTGAGCTTGGGCGGGAACAGTTTCTGAGGGGACAGAGCGGGGCTCGCGGGCTTGGAGCCGGGCTAAGGGACTCAAGAAAGAGGCGCCTGACGGTCCCTGCTGCCCACATGGAGGCACGTCCACGCTGCCCGGGGACCCATGGGGGCGGCGGGCAGACAGCGGGGTCCCCACTGTGACAGGGCGTGCTCCCCGCTCCCGGCCCGACCGCCTCCCGCCAGGCGGTGCAAACTGCTACCCCGGAGTGGGCAGGTGGCCAGGCCGGGCGGGCACGGGCGCCCCCAGAAGCCGCCGTGGGGAACAACACTCTCTTTGTGAGCCCTGCGGCCCTGCAGCCAGCCAAGCCCCGGGAGAGAACCCGGAGTGAGGCGGCACGCTGGGCCGAGTGGCCGCGTGACCCCCGTCCAGTCTGGGGCCCTGCTCTGCTCCCACCACGCGGACTCCCATCAGTTGAAGCACAAGGAAAGCGGTGGGACGGGGGTGTGCGGGCCCCGCCCTACTCACCTGAGTGGCAGCCCAGGGAGCCCACGGGCTCCCGCTGCTTGCCCTGGCCTTCCAGAGGTGCCAGGCCCAGCATACCTGCCAGACAAACAGACACATCGCTGACTCCCGGCCGATGCACCCCCACGCCGAGACCCAGCAGCCTGGGCCTCCCTGTCCCTCCCCAGACCTCAGGCCACACCCGCAGGGCAGAGCGGCAGGCTCGCCGCGTGCCAGCCCCAAACCAGGACCTCCCATGACACGCAGGGACAGAAGACACCGGGGAGAGGGGCTGATTCTTCCTGGCCATGGCCACCAGCGTGCCCCGAGCAGGACCCCCGCTGTCCCCGCCCGGGAGCGCTGACGCCGGGATTGCCACACCTGGTCGGTCAGAGCTGAAGGCGATCCAGCTGCAGCTCGCCCTGATGCTGCTCCCGTAGGCCGTGGCAGGCCCCGCGCGCACGTTGCAGATCCAGGCCTGGGGACGGAGGGAGAGACGGCTCGGGAGGGGGTTCTGCATCTGGCTCCCGCTGGGGGCGGCGCAGACAGTGGTTAGTTTTTAGTACTTAGATAAGATGCGTGGGGGCTATTTGAAAAAATAACAATAGTAGTAAGAGCGAAATAACAGTAGTAGGAGCAAACAGATGCCATTGGGCTACACTAGCACGCGACAGGGACAAATGGAGACGTTACTGGCGCCCGCTCGAGCAAATCGACGACTAACGGGAAGTTAAGCGATTAAGTGATTAATAGTAGTAAGCGCTTCATTTGGGGGACCTGAGAGACAGCCTAGTGAGCACGGGGGGCGCTGGCCTGCACAGATGCCCGTTCAATCTCCGGCATCCCATATGGTCCCCCAAGCCCTGCCAGGAGCAATCCCTGAGCACAGAGGCAGGAGTGACCCCTCGGAACCACCAGGTGTGGACTTGCTGCTGGGTCGGAGAGGAAGCAGCTTGGTTCCTGGCACCACAGGGTGGCAAGCACTGCAGGGCGTGGTGCTGGGGGCCCCAGATTCAGGTGCTCAAGACTGACCCACGGAAATGGCGAGGTGTGCCCCCCAGCTCCAGAGCACCACTGGAAGCCTCTGTCCCTACAGGAATGTAACGTGCCAGCCCCTTCCCACAGCTGACGGAACCCTGTCCCAGGTCACATGTTCCTCAGAAAACTCAAAAGTGAGCACCAAGAGAAAGCTCAGGGGACTAGGGCCAGAGCTGCGAGCAGCTGGCCCGGGTTTGATCCCCGGGTCCCCTGAGCACAGAGCCAGGAGTAAGCCCTGAGCAGTTGAGCAGGTGTGGTCCCAGGGTTGGGGGGAGGGTAGGGAGGGAGAGATAGAGAGAGACAGAGAGACAGAGAGAGAGAGCGCAAGCGCACGAGGGCACAAGGTTGTGGAATAAACTGGAGGGACACACACGTGGCACGCAGGAGGCCTAGGTTCAATTCCCAACACCCATGGTCCTTGAGCACCAAAACTGGAGTATCTCCTAAGCATCCCTGGGGAAAGAAACAGGAAGAAGGAAAAAGGGAAGGAGGGAGTGGAAGGAGGGAGTACGAAAGGAGAGGAGGGAGGAAGGGAGGAAGGAGAAGGGAGAGGAGGGAGGAAGGGAGGAAGGGAGGAAGGAAGGAGAGGAGGGAGGGAGGAAGGGAGGAGGGAGTGTTCCTACGAGTACTGGAGGGACAGTATAGTGTATAAAGTGCTTTCCTTTCACGTGGCCAACCTAGGTTTGATGCCCAGCAGCCCATGTGGCTCCCTGAACACCATCAGGAACGATTACCGAGTGCAGAGCCAGGAGCAACCCCTGAGCATCACCAGGTGTAGCCCAAAACCCCCCACCAAAAAGTTTAAAAAGTCAAAAGAAAATGTTTCTCCAGGCAGGATCTACTTAGTAAATCAGTTTTCTCACGAGAGGGAGCGTGCTGGGCCAGGGGGAGGCTAAGTGCCTGCTCCGCACACGGGAAGCCTGGGTTTAACCCCCGGTGCTGCACGGCTGGGCACTGGGCTGGAGCAGTCTCCGAGCACCAGCCGGTGTGTCCGAAAGGCAAAGGACGCCAGAGAGAAACCACGTCCATGCTGGGGGGAGGGGAGGTTCCTGGTTTCTGCTAGAGGGGAGGGAGAAAAGTAAAGAAAGGAGAAGTGAGACGTGGGCCAGGACCCAGCTTCCTCAAGTGCACTGCTGAAGCCCACCAAGAGGGCCAGAGGAGGGGCTGGAGTAATAGCACAGCGGGTAGGGCGTTTGTTTTGCACGCGGCCGACCTGGGTTCGATTCCCAGCGTCCCTTATGGTCCCCCAAGCACCTCCAGGAGTAATTCCTGAGTGCATGAGCCAGGAGTGACCCCTGAGAATCTCCGGGTGTGACCACAAAAAAAAAAAAGAGGCCCAGAGGAGAGGCGCTGCGAGACAGGTAATCAAGGCACAAATCCCACCCGTGGGTGCACCCTGCTCCCCCAGGGAAGGGCCCTAACCTCAGGCAGAGCGGGGCCTCTGAAACAGGCCGGCGGGTGCAAATGTTTCTCTCTGGGTGTCAGCACTTTGAGGTGCTGCTTCCGGCACTCGACAAGCAGTGGGCACCCGTGGCCTCCCGGAAACACCCTCCGCCCCCCTCCCCCCCACACCTGCCCAGGAACTTGACAGTCTTGCAAGGCTTTCCGCCCAGGGGTTCATGTTCACGCCCCAAACCAGGGCCAGGAAATATCTGCGCCCACTTCCCTACCACAAACTGTTTAAGCTCCCCCTGTGACCGAGGGGTGTAACTCAGGGGTGCCTGATTTCCTTGCTGGACTGAGACCCCCCATAACATTCCGGACCCCTCTACCCATCCTTACTGCACCCAGGGCAATAATTATGGGGCCCACGTCCCCACCACTCCTGCAAACTCTCAGCTGGCCCCCGGGTCCTGTCACTCAAACCCCACACTCCAGGGGGGGACAGGGTGTACCTGGCCCCTGAATACTGCCAAGAGACCCCTGAGAGCCCGGAGTAACCTCCAGCACCACCAAGTGTGGCCAACTCACTCCCAAGAACACACCCAACCTTGCTCAAGCTGCCCGGGACTGTAGAGACCTCTGACACCCCACGTGTCCAGCGGTGACTGAGTCTGGCCTCAGCTGCAACGGCACCTCCGCCCAGCAGCCTTCTCTGACCTCCTCACCGGGGTCCACTCTGCCTGTCCCCGCACTCCCCCCCCCCGCACCCCTATTCAAACTTTCAGGGTGCAGCCCCTCACCAGGCTGGAGGCACCAGGAAGAACAGGCGGACTGGCCTGTCCACCTTCGGGCTCCGGCACCTGGGAGGAGCAGGGAAGGCGACCTCAGGGCTGCCCTTGTCCGCTGGCCCACGGCGGGGTCACCAGCGGGCAGGCAGCGGCCCGCGCGCGGTCCCGGGGGGCCGGGCTGGCATCATCCCGTCCGCCCCTCGCCCCCGGCTGGCACGGGCCGTCGGGCCGGCGCAGGAGGCGCCCGAGCGGCGGGTCCCGGGCGGCGGCGGCCGGAAGCCGGGCAGGCGGGTCCCCGCGGGGGTCTCGGGGCGCGGCCGGCAGAGCCCCCCGAGCGTGGGGGTCGCCCTGGCCAGACGGCGCGGGCCGGCCCCGACACGGCCCGGCCAGCAGGGGGCGCCCCGGCCGGCGGGGGTCCCGGAGCCCGGCCCGCGGGGGGAGGGGCGGCCGGCGGGAGACTCACCTCCCGGCGGGGCAGCCGGGCCTCCATGTGTCGGAACTTGGACACCTTGAAGCGGTTCATGGCGGCGGGGACAGCGACGGCGGCGACTCTGAGGACCGGGGCGGCGGCGCTCAGGTGCACGACGAGCAGCCACGACGCCCGCGGCCTCCGGCCCCGCCCGCGTCCCGCCGCCCGCGTCCCGCCCCTCCCCGCCCCCAGCCAATAGGAGCCCGCTCGGGCCCGCTCGGCCCCGCCCCCGGCGCCCTCGCCCTCCGCGCGCCGGCCGCCGGCCCCGCCCCCCGACCAATCACCGCCCGGCCTCCCCGGGAGGCCACGCCCCAGTGCCCTGGGCCCGCCGCGCGGGTGGGGAGGTCACGTGCGGCGCCGCTGTCCGCCCCCGGTCCCCGCGCTGCCCCGGGGCCACCCCAGGGCAGCGGGAGCGGCTGTGCGCGCTGTGTCCCGGGAGGTTTCTCCAGCGTGCGGGCGCGCCCTTCCGCACACCACCCTCCCGGGGAGTGCGAGGCTGCATCCGCGGGCGGAGAGAGCGGCAGTGGGCCCCGGGGTGGCCGGGAGAAAGTGGGCGCTGGGAGCGGAGCCCAGGTGTGGCGCGGACGCCTGTCCCGGAGCCCAGGGTCTGCATCGGTGCTTCAGGCCTGCCTCGGCCCTGGGCCTCGAATGAGGTGTGGGGAGAAAAGCAAGAGGCCTCAGGAAACCGAGGCAGATAAGCAAACATCATTTGCAGATAAGCCTAAGGGGCGAGCATTGGAGAATCCCTTGATGGTGCGTAATCGCTGTCCGTGCTCGCCCGGCACTCCAGGAGAAAAGAGCAGCTCTGTCCACCTGGGGCTATGGAGCCCACAAACCTTTCTCTTTGAAAACTGACTCCGTGGTTCCAGTTCATGCCTTCTGCCTGGAAACGGAAAAGTACACCTGTGCAGGCACGTCTGGGAAAAGGACTTTGAGCTGAAGGAGGGGGTGATCCCTGGGGGTGGCCGCTGGGACAGTTCCTTCCCAGGACAGTCTGACCCTAAGCCAACTGCTCAGGAGGCATTTCCCAGAAAATGGCCTGCAAGGGGCACCCAGAAATGCAAGGATTCCCCCTCCAACGTGAGGACAAGCTCCTAAGCTCCTAAGGGAGTGACGGCGACTTTTAGAACTCACATCATCCTGGCCCCAGTCTACGGGGCGTGGGGATGGAAGGTTGTTTTCTCTCCAGACCCTGGAATTCCTGAAGCTTTGGAAAAGGTTCTGTTACTGCTTTTTTGTTTTGTTTTGTTTGCTTTTTGGGTCACACCGGCGATGCACAGGGGTTACTCCTGGCTTTGCACTCAGAAATTACTCCTGGCAGTACCGTGGGAACAATATGGGATTCTATAAATCGAACCCGGGTCAGCTGCATGCCAGGCAAATGCCCTACCCGCTGTACTATCACTCCAGCCCCATTACTGTGTTCTTGATTTGGTTATGGCGCCCAAGTACTTCAGCTTGATGTATTTATTATTTTGTAAGTGATTTTAAAATTTGGAGGAGGGGGTCAGAGAAATGGTACAGCATGCAGGGTGCTTGCTATACCAAGAATCATCATTAATCCCGGGCATCATGGCCATAAGGTCCCTGGAGCACTGCCAGGAATAATTTCTAAATGCAGAGCCAGGAGTAACCCGAGGATTGCGGAGTGTGGCCCAAAACAAAACATATAACAATAAAAAAAATGAAGGGGAAAATAAATATGGTTGTGGGGCCAAGAGAAAGTACCCAAGTGAACACTCTTGCCCTGTAGCTGATCCAAGTTCTACCCCCTGAGCACAGAACCAGGAGTAAGTCCTGAGCACTTCCAGGTATGTCCCCCTGCCACCCCCCAAAAAAATATTGAGCCAGAGTGACAGTTCAGCACTGGTTTGTAGTCAGGAAGCCCAGATTTCAGCCCTGGCACCACATGGTACCTTAAGCACCAGCAGGAATGACTCCTGAGCACTAAGTGTGCAGTTCTACCGTGAGTGGGGTGTGCAGACACTGGTCACGACTTCATGCAGAACTTGAACTGTCTCCATCAAACAAGACCTCCTCAAGGCCCTCTCCCCTTTCCAGAAATCACCCTCTACTTTGTTTCTGCAAGTTGGACATCCAACAGTCTGAAAGCGGAATCACCCACTCTGGGCTTCTTTTGGGGTCTGGCTTAGCTTGTTTCCTGTCAAGTCCTTGAGGTTCCTCCTTGGTGTTGCATGTCACCAGCCTGCCTTCCTTCTTCAGAATGAATCTTCTTTATCCATCTTGGCTTTTGGAAGGGTCATTGCAATGACCGTGGTTGAGGAAGTAGCTCTGTGACCTGCCGGCAGTTCTTCTGGAAACAGCCCCAAAAGTGGGATTGCTGGATTGCGTGGTAGTAGTTCTCTATGTCATTTTTTTTTCTTTTTTAGGAAACTTCATTCCAGAATTTTTTTGTTTTGTTTTGTTTGGTCTTTGGGCTACACCCAGCAGTCCTCAGGCCTTAATACTGGCTCTGTGCCCATTTTTGTAAGATAATCATGATTGTATTGGAGAAAAGGATAGTTTGTTCTTTCCGTGGAGAGTGAAATAGAAGTGTGGATTTATGTTGCTGCTGTTTGGACTTGGGGTCACAGCCAGTGGTGCTCAGGCTCTGTGCTCAGGGATCACTCCTGGCAGGGCTCAGGGGACCATATGGGGTGTGAAGGATCAGACCTGAGTCTGATGCATGCAAGGCAAATGCCTTATCTGGCCTAATAAAAGGCGTTTTTGGTTAACAACAACAAAAAGAAACAAATCAAAACAAAAATGGGCATTTATAATCCATTTTTAAAGTACTGCTCTTTTTGGGGGGGTTGAGTTTGGGTTTTTTTATTTTGATGGGGTAGAGGGCTACACCTGGAGAGGCTCAGGGGTCACTCCTAACCCTACACTCAGGAATTACTCCTGGTGGTGCAGGGGGACCATACGGGATGTTGGAGATTGAACCCAGCTTGGCCATGTGCAAAGCAAGGGCCCTCCCTGCTGTGCTATCGCTCTGGCCTCAAACAGTGCCCTCTAATGAGAAATCAGCTTCAGTGAATCCAAACATTAAAAGGGTTACTTTTTAAAATTTATTCTGACCACACAGGTGGTGCTCAGGGTTTACTCCTGGCTCTGCACTGAGGAATGACTCCTGGCGGTGCCCAGGGGACCATGAGGAACATTGGGGATTGAATGCGGGTTGGCTGCAGGCAAGGCAAACACCCAAGCAGCTGTACTATGACTCTGGCCCTTAAAAGGTTTATCTTTAAAAGCACGTCTTGTTGACATTATAGACAAAACAAAACCTAAGGAAGGTCAAGAAAGTCCATTTCTTACTCCAGGTGCTTCTCCTGTAAAATCTGATCTAATTTATTCATAATTCTTTCTTTGGGTGTAATTTCAAATTCAGTGGCATCTTCTGCGACCCTATGACAAAGTCATCAAATCCTAGAAGCATGACATCAATATTCTCATCACTAATTACCACAATGTGAATCCTCAATCCCATATGTGTGTGGCAAGCTTCACAGGGGAAGCGGCTGCAAGGGCTGAGGCAGCTTTAACAGGAAGTGAGCCACCAAACTCCAGCCCTTCAAACTTCCCTTCGAGCTTTGCTGTTTTTTCTTCCTTTCCGAAACAATGATTTAGAATCTCTGAACAATGATTACTCTTTGTGCCATTTATTGTGGCAGGTACTGAACCCAGAGCTTCACACACCAAGACCTGAGTTCCACCACTGAACTCCACGCCTGGTCCCTTGTCATCTGTAGAGCTCACTGTGCTGTGTGGTGGGGCTGGGAGCAGGACCCCCGCTGTAACAGTAACTTACACCGTTGGGAAAATGACCAGGACTGGAGAGGAGACAGTTTCCCTGGTGGAAACCCAAATTCAATCCCCAGTACCGCATGGTCCCCAGAGCACTGACAGGCATGTCCCCAAACAAGAAAACAATGATGCCAGGCACACAGGGTGGCCACACACCTTCCATTTGTATTTGTTTGTCTATCTTTGGGTCACACCCAGCGATGGCCAGGGGTTACTCCTGGCTCTGCACTCAGGAATTACTCCTGGCAGTGCTCAGGGGACCATATGGGATGCTGGGGATTGAATTTAGGTCAGCTGCGTGCAAGGCAAACGCCCTACCCGCTGTGCTATCACTCCAATCCCACTCCATTTGTACCCCATTAAGGAAAAAACAGCAACACTCTCTTCGAAGAGCAGTAAAGTCGGCTGCTCCTCATCTGTCCCCAGCTTTCCCTAGGTCTGGGTCTCCCAATGTCTGAGCTCAGGGTGGTATTCTCAAGCTTAGCACAGAACTTGGCACACAGGACTGTTGTGCCTTTGCTGGAACTTTGCTCTTGGTAAGGGAGGAAGCCTTTAAAGGGACCAGCTGCTTTATTCCCCGTGAGATAAGTCTACAGTGTAGTTATCATCATACCCATTTCAAAGAAAAGGGAGGCACAGATAGGCGAAGAATCCCGTGACTCACCCCATGCAGTGCTGAAGGGGGGAGGCGGGGAAGGAGGGGAGAGGGAGTGCAGGTCCCGTGGAACCTATCTGTTCCTCTGGTCCTCTCCCTAGTGCCTCTGGTGCCGGTGGTGGCATTGAGTCCTTCGCAAGACTACCTGGGCCAAGTTCACCTTTCCGGTCGGGCTTGTACTTTCACAGCCCTGAGCATCTGCGTGTGAGGCTCCAGTTACTTGGAAACATCTCCCCGCCTACCTGACTCATTTTCCAATTCAGCCTAAATCTTACCCTCCAGGCGCCTCCCCACATGCCGGTGCCCTCTTCTCCTGCGTGCCTGCAACCCGACAAGGGCAGAGGAAAGCATCGCTGGCTTTCAGTCCTTTGCTAAGCTGCCTGCCCCTCTCAGTCACCCTTCACTCGTCCAGAAGAGGGTCCGCCGTTGTCATCCCCTCCTGGGTCCAGGTCCTGGGTCCAGGTCCCGGACACGCACTAGGTGTCCACGTTTCTTAGTTTTGGGCCAGCCTGGCTCCGCCACGGGCAAGATCGGCAGGGGGCTGGAGAGGGCTAACACTCCCGAGGAGACAGTCTAGTCCGCTCCGTGGGGAGACGGACCGGGGGGAAGGGGGCTTGCTGCCAGACCACGGTGGGCACCCGGAGACCTGCACAGCAGTCCGAGCTCTAGGGAGGCGGAAGCTGCTGCCGCGTTGCACACCGGGACT